TTGTTGTACTGCTTTCTATCGGTAGAGACTCTGATGTATTCGTCGTGAGCTCTTCTTCCGTGGCATAGGAGGTGAACTGAAGTGATGTCTGATTCAGTCTTTCTCTGGTATTCTCTACTCCTTCAAGGTCCTGGCCTGTGGTTTCCGGATTTGTTGCATTCTCTACAAAAGTTTCCGTCGTCTCTGTGTGCCACTCTACATCCGTGGCTGATTCCGTAGCCGAAGTGGACGTCTCCTGAGCTGTGATGCTTTCCGTTGTAGCATCTGGCTCCACAGTATGTCCGGTGAGAGATGTCGATTGAAGTTCTGGTGTAGCAGATTCCACTGGATCCGAAGTTTCAGTGAGTTCTTCAGTGCTACGCGATTTTGTAGTTGTTTGAAGGTAACCTGTGGTTTCACCATCGTCAGCGATCTCTTCAGCTTCCGTTGTACTTGAACCAGTGGGCTCATCCGTGGACAGCCTTTTTGTGCTCTGGCTCGGTGTCGAACTTTCTGATGTCACCGTTTTACCCACCTTAATGTCAGCGTCAACATCAGATGGTGTTAACTCTGCAGATATCTCATTTGTTAGGGCCATGGTAGTAGTGGACGTAGTGGTGGAGCTCGGGGAAGTTGTCGTCGTGAATCTTAACCTATACGCCTCAATAAGTGCTCTCATCAGTTTCTTGTTCCGCTGTAGGACTTTTCGAATCCGCATGTCATCTAAGGGAATCTTGTTGTCAGAGGTTGAGTCCGACTCTTGAGCTTCTTCCCCGGCTGTCGCCTCCGCCGGCGATTCCTCAGCGTGGTCCTCAGTGGATATCCAAAGTTGCCTGTTGCTCATGGGTACGCGTTCCTTGGCCGGTTTCAGATGTTTCGGTAGGTCGATGGTGAGCGTACTGACATAAGAGTTCGCTTTCGACTTCTCCTCTTCTACCCTCGCTTTCCTGAAAAGAGACGATTGTCAGTCACTGAAATTCTGAAATTTACATAGAATTACTTACAGAGGGCGAACTTCGTTCTCGCTGGTGTGTGGGGAATCGCCTTCTTCATTCAGTTGCCGTTCAATCGCTTCCATCGTACGTGTCAGTTGCCCATAGTAATTTCTTCGTTGTTGAGCGCTTTCATTCTGTTTCTCTTTTGATCGCAAGGTTGCGACATCACCAGATACATGGGCCTGGAACGGAAGGAATCAAACAACACGCACCGTTGGAATAGATTTGTTGGGAATTTGAAGGTTTATACCACTCTGGCCCGCGCCAGGGACGAATGGCGTCACTGGTGCCCGCTCGAGAAAATCGATGATCGACGGGACAAAAGGCGGTGCAGGTGATACCTTCAAAGCCTCTCGTACCGTCGATGAGCGATCACCTGTACCTCTTCTGTGAAACACCATGAACACCATGAAACGGAATACAGCAAGCAGTTATTCCGAGAAGAGATCCACCATCAGTGTTCGTATTAACCCTTGGGAGACTTACAGATTGATATGATACGGTAATATGAAAAGCGTAAATGACACGTTATTCTGCCAATTCCGCTGTTCAAAGACAGCGAGCACACGCCTACTCAGAGGTTGGGTTTTTGTCGCTTTCAGGGCTCCATCGTGCGACGTTGAGGGCGTTTTTGTTCCATAAAGAAGCTAACTATCATTGACTACCTTGTACTATGAACTGTATTTAGTCCCACTATGCATATACTGCCCATATAACGTCAGTGCTACTGCGACATTTGTCTTGAGCTCCTCGTGACCGTTAAGGTGCGGCATGCCGAACGTTGTGAACTGATCGATGCTCACACCATCACTGCTATCACCTCACCTGCCATCCCATTGATTATCGATTTGATCAGGCGGGCGCCGCTACGCTCTTTCAATCGTCCCTCCAATCGCGTTGCGAGCCAGCGCCTCTGGTGGACCCTACTCGTTTGAAGGTGACGAGGACTTGTAGAAGTTAGGCTTCACAGCTCAACTTTTCCAGGTCCATGAGAACGCTCTCAGCCTCTCTTCATCGTAGCTTGATGCTGTTGCGTAGGCTACGAAGATAGTTACAGATAGGGTTGGGCTGCATTTTCTCAATCGCGTACTTGGGATAAAACCCTTTCGTGTGAGTCGTAATTCATGGCCAAATGCGTATGACGATGATACCCTCAATGCCCCTGTCGATATCCTGAGTAGCAGTTCTTCTTCAGTCACGAGAACTGCGTCTAGAGGGCGATACCTTTCTGTCTCGGTCATTCTGAAGATGCCCAACATATATGTTTTTGATGGAAGTGCTCGAGCATGGAAAGTACAGATCGCCATTTTGGCTCCGCTTTGTTCAGAAAACCTATTATGACCCTGAAATTTTAGCAGTCCTTCCCGAGCAAAGCTACCCAGCACAGCAGTATGGTGGAGTGACCGAACCTCTCCCCGAATTCCCACGGCTAGCGGCAGTGGTTCGCGGCGACTGTCGTATCCTTCCATTGGGAATTCGAATACTTGCCTTCACAGCGCGGCACGCCGTTCGTGGAGAAGATTCCAGACCCCCCGTATGGTGAGCATCATCAAGCTCAGGGGATTAGAGTTCATTAGTATCACTGTTTTCAACCCAACAGTAACTATGGGGAACTTGTGAGGCTCTAATTTGGCTGCTGGATATACTCCGGTAGTTAGCCACATGTGACGTGGACTGGGTGAGCTACCAGATCGTGCAACACTGGGGGACCAAACAATGGTGCATGTTGGAAATCAAACCAGGGAGTTTGTCAGCGACGATGAGAAGTTTGTCGTTGCGCTGTATGTCACACTCCAAGTCACAGTAGCTGAGAATGCTACTGGAAGGTCGAGACATCTTCTTCGAATGCCATCAAGAAATGAAGCCTGAAGATGGTTGTATTCGGGTAAAGATCGTTCTCAGACAGGCTCTTCCCTGAACTGTGATGTCGATGGCGCTCAAATGCGAATCAACAACGACGGTTATCCCCAATAGAAGTTCCAAACAGGGAAACCCAACAGGAATTAGCCGTTGGTTTAGGGATGAAACAGTTCAGTCATGCCTACCCCCACCTCATACCTTTAGCCCCGCTCCATTGTAAGACGACCTGTCCAAAAAGTGGCACAACACGGGCTGCTCTCAATACTCTCACTGAGCATCAGCCGTTTTTCTGTCTTCACCTTAACTTACGTATTAGGTAACGATAGTCTCAATTGGCTACAACTCAGTTGAACGTCCACCGTAAAAGCTGCGAAAATGGAAATAGTAGGTGTGTTGATGTGGAAGAGGACATGCTCTGATGCAAACAACCCTAACCTCTTTCTAATGTAAGAGAGCAGTTTTGAAAAGATGATTACAGATTCAATCGTTTGTGTAGATTATTGTAGCTGCTGGTTTCTCGTCAGTATTTCTGGTCGTCCTGGGTGGCATTTAGTGAAATCTAGCGATTTTTTTCCATGCAGCATGAGCAGGAAAAGAGTTTTGCATGAATATTGCTCTGAGCAGTGAAGATTATAGAGAAAACTGCTGAAGAGCTGCAGCTCAAACTCAGTGAACAGCAAGCTTCAGAGTCTAACTCAAATCGTGGCTATTTCCAAAGCCCATATAATCTTAGAGACCCTATGACCTCTTGGGGCTTGCGGGATCCGCTGTGGACGTTATCCCATGGCTCCGTAGCAAGCAGGATACACCTATCAGCACAATAAGACATCTAACTAGCAGAAGGCATGGCTAGTTAACCAGGAATTTCTGTGTCCTAGGAGCAATCGGGTATAATCCCCATACCTATGAGTTCATTAGAAAAATTATCTGTATACTAGTAACTGGAGGGATAGGATCTTTGTTAGAATTTTGGCTGATTTCTGGCTCACAAGTAATGTGGGTCAATTCGGCGCTTAATTGAGATATATTATTATCATACTTTACTGGTACATACCATACATAGTAAACAACCCAAGACTAGGAAACTCACAACTGTGTGGGATTGCTCCGTCGTTGTCGTAACAACAGCGCTTTCCACTTGTCCTTTTCGTAGCTTCCTCTCAGTTATACGTCGTACATGTAATTTTTGATGGCCAGAGCGATTTGGCAAATCAGCAGCGTCCGTTGTAGAACCATCCTGAAAGTCATTAATGAGTAAGTGGTAGGGGAAACTACTTCACCGATAATGAAACTGCGATTTCGTGAAGAAGAAGTTCAACGCACATGTTCACACCTTACTTTGCAATCGTCTGATGAATAGATATCATTTTTGAGGTATCCCCCACAGCAGTAGTCTACCCCTATTACAAACCCGTTCAGTCCTTCGGGAACAGCTGCGGCCAGTACATGTTCTCGATTTTTTGAGCAAAGTGGGCGTGTCGACAGGCTGATGTCTGGTGCCCAGCTGGTTTTTTTACCTATTCGGATAGAAGTCAGGCGAATGACTTGCCATTCTTCGGAGGGGACTTTCGGTCATGAAGATCACCCTGGGTTCAGGCAGTGGCTAAGGGGATGTGGTGTGACTTTGGTCGAACTGGGAGTGACGATCCGAAAAGTGGTTACTGGGAAGACGTTGATTGAGACTGGAATTTTCGCAAAAAGCTGTCTTCCTAATGATTGGAGATTCTGAATCGTGGCCTATCATCATCTTTTCGGAGTTACATGGATTCATCAGAATTTCTAGATCCGCTTCCAGAATTCTTTGTCAGTTGGTACGGAAAGTGATCTCGCTTCTCTCTTCATGAAGATAAGTTTGGTCATCGTCATTGGACTCATACATAATGATACCCTCGACGACTCAGAATCCTTCACTCGGTAGTCCTTACTACTGAAAATTCTCTCGGGAAGCTCGGGAACCTCAGATAGCTGCGGCAGCGAGAAAGGACCTTGAGTATTGATCGACTGGCATGGAGCTGGAATCGTTTTTGATTTCGAGTATTGGGAGCCCTGAAATTTTGTGTTTCCCTGATAAGTTTATCTTCGAGTGTAGAACTAATTAATGGTGCAGTGTTACTGGTTACTTGCTGGTACATCAATCGTCGTGGGTATCGTAGTAGATAGGACTAGTTTATGGTGCAGCGCTGCTGGTTACTGCATAGTTAGCGGAATTTAGAATACTGTAGCAATGTTTCTTCTGGGAAACGAGCAAGCGAAGAGTTCTGACATGAATATTGCTGTGAGTAATAGAAAATTCAGTGGAAAGTGCTTGATGAGCTGCGGCTCAGCACTGAATAGGAGGCAAGCTTTGAAATTGGACTTAAAACGTGGCTACTTCTGAAGCAAAGTCACTATTTGTTGAGCAAATGAATATCTTTTGAATGAAATATGGTGTTATTTGAAAAGTTCGAACCTATAAGGAATATTTCGGTTGAATAAAATAATATTACCAGTGAATAAATGTAATGTATGACTAAATCAATAAAAACATATTACATACATTACTGCTAATTGATAAAAAAAAACTGTTAAAACATCGAATAAAAGCAGAAAATCAGAGTACTCTATTCATCTGAAAAGATCGTGAATTAAGAATCGATTATTCGGTTAATTAATCGAATGGTCAGGCAGATTTCTTGAACGGCAGAAATCAGGAAAAAAATCGGTTTCATCCCTTGTTGATGAGGCCTCCAAGGACCAGTATACCTTGGTAACTTCTTCTCATCGATGAAAAGCATATGAATGCATTCTAATAGTGGTTATAGAATTTAATTCTTAATTGTTTCATAAAAAACTCAAACAGTGACTAAAAGTACTCGTCATCTTATTTTTTTTCATTATCTTTATATATCATGTCTTAACTAATTTGATAGTGAGAAATTATGAGCGCATGTTCAAATCAATCATGGGTTCCTTCCGAAATTCAAGGTCAACCAGTAATCGAGCAGTGGGGAGTTTCAAAAACACTTAACTAAGTATGAATGCTTTTAGTCTACTTAGTAACTGTACACGCCACTTGGTTTTTCTCGACCAACAATGAGTTATTGAGGGTGTCCAGAGGGAATGAAACATCGCCTACGAAAATTCAATGATGCTTTTTTTTGATAATTGCATCCCATCAAAGCATAATATTAATATAAATTTCTTTTTTTAAATTTCACAAGTTTCGTTTAACGGCAGAAATCATTGGAAACTCGGTTCTATCGCTTGCTGATGAGAACGTGTTCATTGTCTTGGACCTCGAATCCATTATGACCATAATGTTTTGGTGGGCTTCTAGTAGCCATTACAGTATTATCAATAATATATTTGTAGTTTTGTGAAATATTGCGGCGATTATTAAGAGATGACCGTGATCGAAAGTTTAGACTTTAGTTAAAATCAGTAAATCATGTCCTCCCTGATTGAAAAGTATCAGAAGGAATGTGGAGCTAAATTGTCCATCGCGATACGTTGAGATACGTGAAAGTAGAAAAAACGAATATCGGTAGCTACATCAGGTTCGGCCTAGTTTATAACTGGTAATCTGAACCTATTTTCGAGGTTTAAGTCATGTGAAAATATCAAATTAATCAAATTGTTATGTATCCAAGTGAACTGTTAGGCTGTTCATATCGATTCATCGAAATCGAAGATCAAATCGATTGACTACGGTCATTTCTCTCATTAGGTATTCTNATCGCTGCATTTTTTGAATGCGTACTTGGCCTGACCACGACGAGCTATGTTCAGTCAGGGATCGATCCTTGGATCTTGCGCGCGATAGCGATGCTGCTGCCTCTTGTGGCCTCATCTCATCCGTGCAAATTAGATGGTAAGATTTTTGGCTACTGATCGGTAATTTCTATTTCGTGGAGGCCCAAGAAGATGGGAAGAAGTCGTAATCAAGCAGTAAAAAAATTCCAGTGAATTGCCAGAATTCAAAGTTCAGCGGGGGAGAAGAAGGGTCGAAACACGTACCTCCCAACCCCAATTGAATTTCGACCCAGCTGAGTTCCTTATAATTGGAAGCGGGAGAACTTTACGCCTACTTCAAGTGGGTAGCCCGTGTTGAAAGTGTGGTTGGTGCTATGTAGTTTAATTTGTATCCGGCTATCTAACCCTTCAATTACCAGTTTAGCGTCAGGTATGAGTAAGCGTGTAGGTTCTTAATAATTACGTATACGTACGGTCTAAACCGATGCGATCGACGATACAGTCAGCGAGACACACGCGTCCCCGGACAATAATGGCCCCGAACACTAATCCAATTAATTGACTTTAAGAATGGAATTTGATGCGCTCAAAAGATTAGCGCGATCCGTAAGCCGATACGTTCCAAGAGTACTTGTGAAACAACGTTAGAAAGTAGTCAAAGGTGTTACCTGGCATGATGGTAAAACACAGAACCGAGTTTCATACAGATGTGGACAGCGCTTGACAGGACCTTGTGGTCGGTCCGGTAGGGCTGGACGGATTACATCACGATTTCGGACGGCCAGGGCGTAGAAGCAGGTACCATGGCATCGCCCCCATGATGACCACTCGGATAGTTCGCAATCTGAAAGTGAGTGTTTTGGTGACTGGGAAAACCTCAAAAATGGTGGACCACTTTCCCTAGTGCTGTTGGCGCTAGTAAATCTTGCTAGCTAGTGAACCAATACCAGGTACTTTTTCTTTCATTCCTGCGTGAGCTAATAGCTTAATCTCCCCTCCACTTTCCCTTTATTTCATCTTTTTTTTNTTTTTTTTCGAAGTTAAATAGGGTACGTTCACAATCACCTCTAACTGTTCACAACTACACACGAGGACACTTAAGATAGACATGAAACAGCAAATTTTTTCAATACCTCCAAAAAAGAGATGAATCGTGCAGTGGCTTCATACTTGGACACACTAGTCCAAAAAACACTTGGAGTATGTAACAATTACTCAGCATGGTGTTTTAGCTGTAGATCGTTCTGTGAGTTGCAAAATGTTTCGCTAAATTCAAACTTCTAATTTTGAATTTTCCAATTTGACTCGATTTTCATAACAACGGCACTCCATTCCAGTTAGCAGTTTCCAAAACAGTCGTACTCCCATAATGTAATTTTTTGGAACAATAATCAGTCGCCTATGAAATAAAACACCCAATGGCCTTTTTTTCTCAAGTTCTTGATTGCTTTTTTTGGAAAAAAAGAGTAATGGAATGGTTTATCCGCTCTTCAAGGCAGAACTTTTGAATTTTCACATGTATCTTCTCAATGATGCGAGGATTCAGAGCGGAACACTAGTTTAATTTTTAGTTTACTAGTTTACTCGTTTTTGCTTCTAGTGGGAGTCCGTGATGGGTGGTGCTCTGAGAGTTAAGGCAAAAGGCCATGCTTATGTAAGCGAAGTGGGACCTGTACAAAAAATGTTGTCGTAGGGTGTCATCAACGCAAATACCTCGAACTTTTGCGGGCAGATAGGCACTCTTTCAGGGAATGTGAAGTCTAAAAGAGAGAATTTTTTACTTCAGAAAAAGAGAGAGATAAAGAGTTTTGGGCTGAGTAAACACCTTGGTATCGTGGCACTTCATAGAGCCTGTCCCCCTGTCCCCCCCCCCC